AAATCTTTTCTCAGAAACTCCAGCTGAAGAGACAATATGAGAGATAATTGGTGCAGAAAAGGCAGCAGAGCCTGTCTACTTTGTGAAAATTACCACAGCAAGGTAAGAATGTGATTTTTTAAAAAAGAAGAAGAGAACAGTATTTCAGGAGACTATATGCATCCTGGTCTTTCCTGGTAGTTCTTAACACCAGGTAGCTTCAGAAATGATAATGGAGTTTTTGAGGATAATGAGAAAAGCAGCAGCAGTTGGACTGTATAATAAAATCTAATCAGAATTACCCCAGAATAGGTAGAGCAAATTCCTTCAGTCCAACTCATACTTGCGTCTTTTATAATGATGTTCATCACCTCTCTGCCTTCATCTCTTACTTTGCCAAAGTGGGAAGGAGAGATTTGATTTAGAATCTGAAAGTTAGGGGAAGCTGATAGACTGCAATTGGGGAACTTCTAACACTGGGGCAGAACCTCCAAATGCCATTTTTCTATTAGGCATTGCCTGTGGACATGTCACTTCTTACTTCCCTCAGATTTAACAAATTATCAGTGACTTCATGACATCATTAGTCTATACGGCAACCTTAGCTCATTTCAGAACTCTGCATGGCATGCAGTCAGTATATGACATTAGCTGCCATGCTTATCAGGCCTGAAAGCAAAAGGTCAAGAAAGGCTGATGAAATATACTGGATTCAGACGCGTTGAGTGATCAGCTCATAGTTTATTAAGGGATTCAGCAGTGAGGACAAAGACCAAGACCCCTGGCCGAAGCCAGGTTTTCTGCCCAAAGAAAGTCACACCCAAAACACACCCCACTCCCCGTGATAGGCTATTTACACAAGGTTACCTTTCCAGGGCCTCGTTCACACAGGCCGGATATCACGGGGGGGGCGTGGCTAATTGCCCCGGTGCAGTTTGATGCGCGATTACGCAATCAGACGCGCCGGCGGCACACCATGGATCCTTCCCTCGGTGCCGGCAGGTAAACGAGGGGAATGCTGCGAGCTGGCGCGATCACACCACGGGCGTCTGGAGGCAGCCCATGGCAAACGTTTACTAGTACCTTGGAGGTACTAGTTTTTAAGGCGCATTGTCGGCGGTAAACCACCGGTGCGCTCCACTTCCCAGATGTTGGGGTGTGATCGCGCCCGGATAATCCACCCACCATCCAGGGCCCAGGTAACCCTATTGGGCTATGTTAGGATCCAAGTGTTCCTACTGGTGCACTCCTAGGATCTTAGCCTGCTTTTGTTATGGAGCTCAAGCTGCCATGCAGCTGAAGTCATCACAAGCCCAGCAAGAACCGGCTCAACAATTCTATTATACATTTGGTAGTCATTTCCCCAGCATACTAGGAATAAATTACACGTGAAAAGGGCAGGCACATTTGTTGTTCATGTGCCTCCCCTAGCAACATATAAAGCAGGGAGCAGAGATTCCAGTTTTTATCCCAAAAGAGAGAGATGTGCATGGATGAGGAAGGCTGAAAGCTCCCTCTGCACATGCTCCATGCAGACACACTTCTACTAGCCCAGCTCTGAGATCCAAAATGGCTGCTTTGTTGTGTTTAGTTTGGTCCTTGTAACAGGGATAAATTGGAGACTGTTAGGCATTGCAGCCAACACAGAATACCTTTCGATGGATGTGTTCTCTGGGAGCACGTTTAGGGGGATGTCATATGTCTACTTAAAGTCTGTTTCAGCTTGACTTGCATTCTTAATGCATGCAGAAATGCCCTGTTAAATGTGATAGTCTCTAGCTGTTAAATTCATTTATGGCCATGTGATTTATATAACAACCTTCCTGCATTTCTGTTACTTGTGAACTAGTGCACTTTTAGTCTTCCAGACAACATTTTTCTTCCCTCACCATTTGCCCCTGCCAATGAAAATTAATGGGCAGACTGCCTCTGAACATTTGGGTTCCATTTATCCAATGAATGTAGTTGTCAGTAGGCTTTTCCTCCAGGTATTTGCCCAATTCCCCTTTTAAAGGCAGTAAATCTATCACCATCTTTTGGCAGCAAATGCCATAAGTTCAACAAGGGATTTGCTGCCAAAACAGTTGGTGATAGTAGAAAAGAGCAAGAGTCCAGTAGCACCTTAAAGACTAACAACATTTGTGGCAGGGTATGAGCTTTTGTGAGTCACTGCTTGTTTCTTCAGATACAGCTAGAATGTGAGTCCATCTGTCCTATATATTGGAAATGTGGAGTGATTTCAGGTGATAGATTTGGGATGCTTTCCCTGACATGGAGATACAGTGATTGGAAGGTCCTCTTAGCTGGCCTCATGCTAACTCTGCTGTTCTTCTCTAAAAATTCATAATGAAAATATTGACTGAGAACAGTACAAGTTGTTCTTCACTTTGCCAAGACAGCTCTGGGCAACCTGTTCTCCCCCATCTTTTTACAGTGAACAATTAGGAAATTCAAGGTGGACATAATGAGAAGGTGTGGCATGTTTGCCACAGCTCAGATGTTGGTCTCATGTTCAGCTGCTGAGAGCTGTTCCTGATTTGGATATACTAATAGGATAATTATTGCTTGTGATCAGGGCTGCCAAGAGCCACCCATGGACCCCCAGACAAAGATTCCACCTGGGTCCTCCATACGATCCTGATCCAAACCAAATATCATAATAAAACAAATCACTTTTCTTGCCATGGACCCATAGTAATAAAATAATCAGTCTGTTTGTCCATCTGGGGTGTGTTCGTTTTTGTTTTGTAATTTATTCATTTTATTTTAGTTATAACCTGCCATTCTCTCCAACGGGGACCCAAAGCAGCTTATATCATTCTCCTATGAGGTAGGTTAGGGTGGAAGTATGTGACCGGCTCGAGATCACCCAGCCAGCTTCCACTACAGAGTGGGGATCTGAGCCTGGGGTTCCCAGATCCTCATTCTACAGATCCTCATCAGAGAATAAAGTCTAGGAGACTCAAAATTGGCCACCAGCTTCAGGATGATTATCAGAGTTCCAAGGCCAAAATGGACAGACATGGGAAAATCCTGGCCCTGGTGAAACAAGCCACCACTATCCCAAGCTATTTGCAATGGAAGCTAAAGGTCTCTGTTTGTGGCAAGAATAACTCATCAGAAAATAATGCTACATGTCTGAAAACTGGCCACCAACCACAGAGTGATGAAGGGAACTGGAACACCCTGGAACAGGTTATCTTCATAACAGGCAATATGTAATCAGAGAGCTTTTAAGCAACCTGTCATGTGTCTCTAATACTCAGATCCCCAACCCATCATGGAAGGTTGCTAGGTGACACATAGGCTTGCCAAGACCCCCCAGGGAGCGGGGAAAACCCCACCCCAGAGGCCCGTTCCCCACCGGCAGCGGATTGGGCCCCGGGGGGAACCCCACCCTAACATGTGCGTCACCCGGAAGTGACGTGACCACGCCGGGCACGCTGGGGGTGGGGCCACAGTCATCTGAGGGGAAACTTTTTCCCTCGGATGGTCGAGGCCCTGCCCCCAGCGTGCCCAGTGGCGTCACGTCACTTCTGGGTGACGTGCGTGCGGTGTGCGCACTCCAGACGCCGGACGGGAGTCCCCCGCTTTGGAGGAATTTACACTTGGCAACCCGAGTGACACACGGTGCCAGACCAACCTCACAGGGTTGTCGTGAGTATAAAATGGAGGATAGGAGAACAATGCAGCTCTGGGTCTCCATTGGGAAGAAAGACTGAGTAGGATATTTGTTATAAATCTAATTTTTAATTATATTGAAAAGATTACACCATTTGTCATATAGCAAAGCAGCCTTTACAAAGGGCTATTAGATCCTCCACCAACACAATAATAATGATGAAAACCTAGTGTCTGAACTGGGAGTTCTAATTTCTCTTCCCCATGTATAATCACTAAAACAGGTTAATGTTCCTTTATCATGCCTGTAAAGTGTGGAGGCAGGGGAAAGCATCCTTTTACTACTTAATTAGATCATCATGGGGAAATATTAGCACACACCCCTTTCATAATATTAACAAAGGTTTGCTACTGTACTCATTGTACGAGAGCTTTTAATTGGAAGTGTTTGGAATATATGTATATGTGATGTGAGACCTGAGAGTGAAGCACAAGGTCTGTTTGGTTCTTTGGAGACAACTTTATCTTCGATGTGCTCACAGAAAGAATGAAAGAGTG